TTAATATGTTTCCTAGGTAGATTAGAATTAGTCATAGTTAGGATCTATAAATAGGGAGCATCCCTCATTGTTTTGGAAGACCAGAATTGATGAAATAGAAAAGGAACGTTTGTTCAAACCATGTGTTAGGGTTCGTGAGAATTCGATCATGCAACCGAATTGGTGAGGCTAAGACCCAAGCCAGTTCAACGATTTAGAGAGGCTAAGACCCGATCTATTTCGAGAGTGTAGTGAGGCTAATACCCGAGTGAACTCAAGTATCGTGAGAGAGTTAGGCTAATAATCGAGTCGATCACACCTATCGTCGAGAGCAAGGCCGTGGCGAAGCCGTGATCGAGACAAGTCGAGGGAACGCAACACCCGATCCGTCATCATTGGTGCTTTCATTGAGAGTGATCGATTGGGTGTTCGTGAACTTTTTCTATCCCATTCTTTTTCTTTGGTTCGATTTTTTTGAGTCCTTGTGTTCGAATTTTTTTTCGAATTTTATCCCTAATTTTCAAAAAATTTCGTGAGTATCAAAAAAAAAAAGTGTCATCTAGTCCTTTTGTTTGATTTTTTCGGTTATTACCTTTTTGTTAAGGGGCCGAATTTCTCTTCTTTTTGGGTCGAAATTTTCGAAATTCTTGTTCGAATTTTTCATTTATTTTTCGATTTTTTTTAGAGTAAAAAAAAAAATTATCATGTCTTATGAGCCAATGGACGAGATAGATTGGGAAGATCTCGAACTATTGGAGAGTTTGGAGAGAGAACTTACCCCATGGGAGAGCACATATCTAGACGAGCTCCATGAACAAAGAAATCGAGAAGCGTACGAGCGACAACTCATGGAAGAGCGAGGAGCAAGAGAGGGTGAAGTTCAAAACCGTGAAGATGATGGTGCACTTAATTTTCTAATCCTTGAGGACAAGGAAAATCTTGAAGAGGAGGGGAATGATACGGAAGTGGTCATCAACCCCGGAGAGTCAGACGACGAGGATGGCAATGGTCTCGATATTTGGTTGGAGAACATGTTGGTGTTGGTGTTATATACTTAAGCTTTGCTTTAGTGGATATTACACTTGTTATT